AGACCACTCCTGGACAGGAACCCACACTCCATCAGCTGCCTGCTCTCGGCCCCGGCCCGGGGGAAGCTGGCGACCCGGGGAGCCTGCCCCGCCCAGGGACACGCCGCTGTCATCACTACCTCCAGTGTTTGTGTTGTTTGTAACATAAACTTTTTGCTTCCAAAACCCAGCAATGTGCCCGTGCTTTGTCAGGGGACACGAGTGGGAATTCTCACAGTGGTTGTCCTCATCCAAACAGGGTCCTGGCCTGGGAAGAGCAGTGGGTGCTGCAGAGGGCATGAGCCACTTCCCATGCCCAGGACACAGCACAAGGCCTCCCAGGGCACCAAGACTCCAGGGGGAGGAAGCTCAATGCTTCTGCTGGTTTTGGGGAGGGTGAGTGGTGGGTGGGAGGGCAGCGAGCAGAGGGGGGCACCACACAGCACCCCTGAGGGCAGCAGGCAGCTCCCACTCTGGTGTATAGGTGCCCACCTGCTGCCCGCACACCTTGTGAATGCACTTGATAAATGTCACTGCAAAACTCAGCGTAGGCTGAGGTGCAGGCTGGACTCAGGGCCTGGACCCCCACCCTGTACCCAGTGCACCCGAGCCCAGGGCGCCTCCCTCACCCCCAGCTCTCACAGCTTAGCACTGTGAACTCCAAACCCAGCCCCACACACAGCCCAGTTCAGCCCCTGCACAAGGAGTATCCTGCTACCCCCAGCCCCCAAGTCCAGCTGGAGTAACAGCCTGCTTTCCCAGATTGTGACCAGAGCCTGTCTCCCTCTCACTCAGCTGTGTCCCCCTTAGGTGATGCCTCAGTCGTGCCAAGCATCATCCCCACAGCCCTGTCCTGCTTGCAGAATGAGGGCCCAAGGGAGCTGAGAGCTGGGGAAGGGCAAGGAGGGCTCAGACTGCACCTGATGTCTCTGCAGATCCCCACAGCTTCCCCTCACCTCCACAGCACTGATTCCAGCCCCAGGCTGCTGGCCAAGCTGCACCATCCTTGACACAGGGAGGAAGGCTGTGACAGTGCTGGCCCTCATCCCAGGCACCCCAGGTGTCCATTAATTACAATCCCGGAGGAAGAGGTGATGCAGCTCCAGTCACACCCAGCCACAACATTTACTACCAGCTGGTCATATGCAGCAGCTCCCCTGGGCAACTGAAGGGTATCAAACTTTATTATAGATCTCTTTAAAACAGGCTGGAAAGAACAAACCAAACTCATTGAGATACAGTGACTGAGTCATCATTTCTGATCAAGCCCCAACTCTTTCCAAATTATTTATATATAATATATCTCACCCATCCCCCAAATTGCTTCAATTAAATCCTCACATTTATAAACCCTAAGTGCCTTAATATCAGCTGCTGCTAACACCACAATGTACATGTTTTCTAGCAAATCAGAGGCAGGGTGCGGGTTTTTTCTTGGGGTTTAGATCATCAATCTCTGAAAAGGAACAAGGAAAAACAAACATCAGGAAAATTGCTTCTTTAAGGTTGCCTTTTTACAGCAGGTACAGATTCAGCAGATTTCCCCCCAAAAGCAAGTCTGAAACCCTCTTGTTCAGCTTGGCAATATGCAGAGTGGTTGAGGAGAACCAGATCAGTCTGAGCAAACTGATTTCGAGGCTTTTTTGTCATTTCCCTTTGGGGCCAGTTTCCAGCGGTTTTCCAATGTCCTTTCCACGCAGTTTGAGCCCTGGAATAAGACAAAGGAGACCACCACCATCAGTACTCAATCATTCACCCAGTAACTCTTATTTCCACCAAATCTAGCCTTAAGCAAGAGAACATCCAGAAAGAGAGCAGAGGAACCAGAGTTCAGGAGAATCCTACTTTAGTTTCTAGGAGCACTAGACAAAAACCAATCAAACGGGATCTGAACCAGCCCAGGAGAGTAAAACCAACACTAAATCCTTCTACAAGTGCAATCAGGCTTCCACGAGTCTCAGCACCTCACAGGTTTTAGGGGCAAGCACACAGGGACAGTCCCCAGGGCACAGCTGCAGGCACGAAGGTGCAGACAAAGATCAAGAGCTCCCAGTTCTGGTTCAGTCAGCAGATCCAGGTTTTATCAAGACATGACTTAATGGCACCACACCCACAATAAACTCCAGCCAGCAACGTTCCTCACAGGAAAAAGGTAAATACTTTCCCCCAAACCACCCCTCCAAGCACTGGCAGTATTTCTGAAGTCTCCCTTAACTCACCAATGGCTCTTTCAATCTTGCCCATGACCTGGTTATTGGGGATTGCTCGTCCTGATTCGTAGTCAGCGATAACTTGTGGTTTTTCATTGATTTTCTGAAAAGAGAGGATGAGTCTCAAACACAGCAATGCTCAGCAGCAGCCCCCCAGGACTCACATGGATAAGGAATTATGCCAGGAGAGATCACAAAGTGCTGCTCCTAGGCTGACTCCATCCCCACCAGCACCTCCGTGAAATGTCCCAGTGCTGGTGACATCCATCCTGAATGGACTTTGACCTCCCTCCTTCTCAGGAGGAATAGGAACACACCAGGGACTGCTGTTCCTTCAGACAGCACAGAGTTGCTAACACTGCTCAGCCCAGATGGTACAAACATCTAGGGCTGGTGTGAGCTACTGGGAGGAGGCAGGAAGCAGCCTCCCACCAGCTGATCAGCCACAAACAGACTCTGCCTCCAACCGCGGACTCAAGGGCTGCACAGACAAACCTCGAAACGTTTCCCAGACAACTTAAGCTACCAGGACATCAGACACCAGAGTTGCTGCATTCCTCAAATTCCAGCCCATGACACCACCCCACTGCAGCTGCCTATGAGGGAACAGGGAAGGTGCCCACCCTCACCTGGACATGCTCCACTCACCGTGGCCAAGTCCTTCTGCGTGAGGCCCTTGCTCTGTCGGCCCTGCTGGATCACTTTGCCCACCTCCAGGGAAACTCTATCATGGTGCAGCTCCTCTGTTTCACGGTCAAGCTTTGCCGTATTCTTTGTAATGAAGTGTTGCTTGTTCTGGCCTGCTGCCCCTGTCATTCAAAGCGAGAACGAAAAAATAACCAAGGACAAGCAAAATAAGGTTCAGAGCTGTGCCAAAAAGTATCAAAGGACTTTTTCCAAGCCATCAGCTGCCCAGGATCCCAGGGCGCTGTATATTTCAACATACCAACATCAACATTGATCTCACCCAATTCTGCCCGTCAGGGAATATTACCTTAGCCCTGCTCATAGTGCTGTGCACACCTAGCCATGAAGAGCTCTTCCCTTTCCCTACTTCACACCTGAACTTCATTCCAGACAGGGAAAGTCTTGATTTTTGCTGGGGATTTAGTGCTCTAACAGCTTCACTGCAGACACATAGTTGTGTTGCAGCACAGAGGGGTCAATACTTGAACTTGAATTGTGCTTGCTCAGTATGAGGTACCACAAGTAAGTAGCTTTTAAGCAATTTTATGACACCTTTGATAAGTAAAGTCCAGTTTTACTTAGGTTTGCTAAAAGACAGCTTCAAGAGCATTGTTTTCTCTCATGTTATAGTATTTAAGCCCTAGTTTGAATCCTTTCTCTCACATTAGTATCTGACATTCAGTGTCCCAATAAAGCTGATTAACCTTCTTCAAGGACCATCTCTCTATTTCCAACCATCAGAATAGCCTCCCTACAGTGAGAGAACCGGCAATTTACATCAGAGAAGAAACAAGGAATTTTTTAAGAGCCATAGGAAGATCGGCATCCATTCAAATTCGCAAAAGAAATAAGGTGCCAAAACACGGAGGTTAAGTTTTGTGATCACAAAAGCTCTTCCAAGAACTCTGCAGAAGCCGGGCAGATCTCTGCCCCGGGCACCCAGAAGCTGAGGGGCAGCCCCAGGGGCGCCATCGTTACGGCCCAGCTCGGGATCACTGCCTCCGCCGGGCGGTGCCGCCTCCTGCCTCCTCTTTCCATCCCGGGCAGCCGCCCCAAACCGGACCGGACCCCCGCGGGATACCCACACTTCTTGGAAGTTTCCACGTCCTCCCCGCGCCGCTGGGCCGCCAAGATCGCCTGGGGAAAAAGCGAAGGCGCGAGGTGAGCACGGGGCTACTCGGAGCGGCGGCCTCGACCACGCCGAGCCCAGGCCTGCCGCCCGCACCCGGCCCCGCAGCGCTCCCCACGCTGACCTGCTTGGACTTGGCCTGGGCCGCGCTCGGGCCCTTCTTGCGCAGCACCGTGACCGTGTCCCAGTCGCTCTCCGCCATCGCTCCGACCCCTCCCGGGCCGCGCCCGCCGCCGGGCACCGCCCTCTGCCCGCCTCCGGGGGCGCGGCCGCGCGGCGCCCGCTGATAGGGCGAGACGCACGTCCATCAGCAGAGACAGTCGCTCATAGGTGGAGACAGGCGCGAGCGCAGCGGGCGGGGCCTAGGTTCCTGCATGGACTGTTGGCTTTACTGCACCCAGGCGTGACGCAGCTCTGTTTGATAGGCGCAGCTCCCTGCCAATCAGCCTCCTCGCTATGTGATTGGCTAGCGCCCACGCCAACCTGGGGGCGAAAGGCACGTACCTGTACACACTTCGATTGGCTGTGGGCCCTGCCAGTCACCCGTCACCCGGCAGGGATTGGTTTGTTCCGCGGCGCTGTCAGGCCCGAGCCGCGCATGCGCCATGCGGCTGTTGGCCGTGCCGGTTGGCTCCGGCCGCGGGCACCGGGCGCGGCCCCGGCAGGGCAGGGCGGGCATGGCCGCGGGGCTTGGTGCCGCGGGGAGCACGGCAGAGCGGCCGCAGCACGGACACGGGCATGGGCACAGCCCGAAGGGGGCGAGGGAGGGCCGGCTGAAGGCACGGGGTTGGTTGAGCCTAGAGAAGGCGATACAGAGGTCAAACCGCGCTGGGGCTGCAGTTCCTCTTGCGGGGCAGCTCCGATCTCTGCTGGCTGTGAAAGGCCCAGGAGCCAGCGAATGGCTGGAGCTGGGCCAGGGCGGCTCAGGCTGGAGAGCAGGAAAGGTTCTTCCCCCAGAGGTGCTGGCACTGCCCAGGCTCCCCAGGGAATGGGCACGGCCCCGAGGCTGCCAGAGCTCCAGGAGCCTTTGGCCAGCGCTGCCAGGGATGCCCAGGGTGGGATTTTGGGGGGTCTGGGCAGGGACAGGGGCTGGGCTGGGTGATCCTGGTGGTCCCTCCCAGCTTGGGATAGTCTGTGATTCGATGAAAATCCCTGAACTATATCCGAATCACCCAGAAACTTTTGCAGTCACAGTAAAGGCATGAAAAGCTGCTCCTGCTCTCGTCATTTCTGAAGCAAAAGGACAGAGTTACACTCCCCGGGTGGATTTTTGTGGGGTCTTCCCATGACAAAGCGCATGATGAGTGGTCAGAGTGGTCAGATTCTAGTCACGGTGATGATCCAGGGCATTGCTTGGAAGTCAGGTGCCGGGATGGCCCGGGGGGTTTGCATTTATCATCTGTCACTGCGCCATGCCTGGCCCCGGCTCCCAGAGAACAGGAGAAAGCAGCTCCTGGGGTGGGACATTAGCGGGGTGCAAGACCTTCTCCTTGGACCGTGCGGTTGAGCTGGGGTGCCACAACAGCAGGACTGGGAGTCCCGTCCTGTGTCGGGCATTCCAAGCAAGCCTTTGGTGCAGGTTTCCTGTCTCTTTGGGAACAGCATGTCCTGCTGCCAGGTCACGGTCATTTCACGAAATGCAGACAGGATTTTTCTTCGATGGATGACATCACCAAGTTTTCATGCCAGTGTTCCCAGAGCAGTGCGACTGTGCCGGAAAACGGGCTGATGCAGCGCAGTTGGTGAAGCGGTGCCCATCCTAGGAAGCTGTGCCCATGCCATTCCCGGTGCCGACACACTGTCCCCGGCTCCCTGACAGCCTGAGCAGCACCTGGCCCCTCGCCAAGGGCTCTCTGTGCCTGAGCCCCCCGCGCCCTTCACTTCAACCCTCTCCTCTCCGGCACCGTCTTCGCAGCCAGGCTCCCGGGAGAGTCACTTTGGCCGCTGGGTCACTGCGCCGGGCTCTGACGGCGAGGATTTCCCCGGCCCAGGGTGAATTCCCCGCGGTGAGAACCCGCCCATCCCCGCCCCGCCGGCGCAGCAGGCGGTAAAACCCCGGCCGGAGGGGCAGGCGGGCTGGGGACCCCGGGTGACAAATCCTGCTGCTGTGACCTTTTGCCGAACACGTTCCTCTGCGAAAAGCACCTCGCCGTGACCTCAGCGCGGGCTGCGCCGCGCGTTTCCCCACACGGCATTTTCCTGCCGTCGCCGTCCCGCCGTCTCCGTCCTGCCGCCGCCCATCCTGCCCGACCGCCGGCCTGCCCCTGCCCCCGAGCCGGCGCCACGGGACGCGAGGTGGCCATGACACTCTGTGCGCAGGTAGGCGAGGGCCCGCTGGTACCCAAATGGCCAAAAGTGACTTTAAAACAATTCCTCGGGGTGGCAGGGCTGGCTCCGGGCCATTTCCAAGGGACCAGCGGCTGCTCACCTGGGAGTGCAGCGGGAGATGGCTGTCCTCGATGCGACCCCGGGTGGGTCAGGTGGCCCCAGCTTGAGCACCACAGTCCGTCTTTTTTGCCCTCCAGCAAATGCTGGGGATGGGGGGAGGGTCCCAGGAGGGGATGCATGAGGGGGGGTCTCAGGGGATGGATGAGAAGCCCCTGGGACGGACGAGAGCACCCAGGAGGTCCTAGGACGTGGATGAGGTGGGCTCAGAGGAGGGATGAGGGAACCCAGGGGGTAGATGCCAGGGGTAGATGAGTGGTGCTGAGGGAGTGTGAGGGGCGTCCCGGGGATGTTGGTTCACTCCCAGCAGGGTCGCCTGAGGCAGGGGTATGGCAGGGGACAGTGAGGGGGAGGTCAGCGAGGAGTGGTGCTGGGGAAGAAGTGACAGAGGAAGGGGTAAGGGAGTGACTGAGGGGGTGACAGTGGGGTGGCAGGGAGCATAACTGGGTGTGACAGTGGGGTGGCGGGGGTGGTGATGGGGATTGATGTGGGAGTATTGGGGGTGCAGATGTAAGTGACAGTGGGGTGGCTGTCGGAGTCGGGGTGTCGGGGATGCAGGGGTGGGTGACGGTGTGTTGGGTGATGATGTGCATTGGGGATGCAGGGGTGAGTGTTGTTGGGTGTCGGTGTGGGGCTGTTCGGAGTACAAGGGTGGGTGATGGTGTGGGGGTGTCGGGGGCCGGCCGGGGCCGGGGCCGGGCGGTGGGCGGGGCCCGGGCTCGCCACACGTGTCCGGGGCGGGGCCTGGCGGGGCTTCCGGTGCGGGCGCAGCGAGGGCCGGTGAGTGCGGGGCCCTCAGGGAGCGGCGGGGTCGGGCCTCGCTCCGCTGCGAGTCCGGCCCGGTCCGGCCCGGCCCGACAGAGAGCCCTCTTGGCAGCAAGGAGCCCGGGCCGCACGGGGGCAGCTCTGGCTCTTCTCTGGTTCGCGATGTCTCTGCTCGTAGGGGCTCCTCCCGGACACAGGCTCGAGGCGTTCAGCCTGGAGAAGAGAAGGCTCTGGGGCGACCTCAGAACCCTTTCCAGGGCCTAAAGGGGCTCCAGGAGAGCTGGAGAGGGACGGGGGACAAGGACATGGAATGACAGGACGAGGGGGAGCAGCTTCCCTGTGCCATAGAGCAGGGCTGGATGGGATATTGGGAATTGGGAATTGTTCCCTGGGAGGGTGGGCAGGCCCTGGCACAGGGTGCCTAGAGAAACTGTGGCTGCGCCTGGATCCCTGACAGTGTTCAGGGCCAGGTTGGATGGGGCTGGGAGCGGCCTGGGATAGTGGAAGGTGTCCCTGCTCAGGGCAGGGGGTGGAACAAGATGGGCTTTAAGGTCCCTTCCAACCCAAACCACGGGACTCCACAGATGTGCTGCTTAGGTTCTTTAGGTGGCTGTAGCATGTAGTCACAGGGAATGAAGGTATGAGATGCATAAGCAGCTAAAACAAAAGCATTTTATTCTTGGCCTTCTTTCCAATTTGCTCATGCCTCTTGTGTCCTCATTTTCCATCCCTCTGGAGGACCCTTTGTGCCTGATTGGGCACCAGCACGAAATCTGGGCTCCCCTGTGTGGCCAGCTTTCTCCTAGGAACATCTGGGACCAGCTGCCTCTGGGCAGAATTTTGGTCCCTCCTGATAGCTGACAAGTATGAAAGCAGGTATTGGTAGGCTGTGGTGGCCAACAGGTTTTTGGTGAACTGAATTTATTATATTTATTTCTTATCACCTTTAAGACAGGTTTTTACCGTATTTAGATCAAGAAGACTTGATATCTCTAAACAGGCTGCATTTCAGTCAACTCAGACTGGAGGTTTAATAGGTCTGTCCTTCCTGTCTCTGTGTTCTGGATTTAGTTCTAAACTTCAAGTTTCCTCCCATATTTGGGAGGTGAAGGCAGGCTTATGATGTGGTTTACATGAGTATGTTTACTTGTGTTGGGGGACAGTCTAATAATCTGTGAGTAACACTGTTTATATGACAAATCACCCCCATGCAATTATAATCAGATGGAGAAAATACTTTTATTTTCAGTCTCTGGAGACACAGACAGAAGTTTTCATTCACATGGCAGCAGCAAACTCTTCTCCACCTGGTTCTCTGGATCTAAACCAGCCTGGCTTTGCAAAGGAGATCTTGGGAACTAAACTGGAGGTCAAATACCTGTGCTCCGATTGCAAGAACATCCTCAGGCGGCCGTTCCAGGCACAGTGTGGCCATCGCTACTGCTCCTACTGCCTGAAGAAAATCATCAGGTAACTGCTGTGCCTCGAGTGGGAAGGCAAAATACTTGAAAAAGCATTTTCAAGAACAAAGAACAAAAGCAGAGAGAAGTGTTGTTTTCAGGACCTTCTCAGTAAGGGAGCTGTGTCCAGTCATTGAGGTTCAGTATCATCTCTTCTCTAAGGGAATGTGTAATCTCTGACTTGCCTTTGTTGATGCTTCAAAGTTCTCTTTGCCAGAATCCCTTGCACTGTTTTTGCCATTGAGGAGGCAGTCCAGGTCTATCACCCATCTCCTTCATTACAACCATAAAGTCATAATTTCATTGTTGTGTTAAGATGGGAGAGATTTAAGCACGAGCTGGCTTCCAGAGAAGTCTCGTTGTGTTCTGTCTCCCTCCTACCTTTGTGTGAGGAAAGCCTAATAGAATGTTTAATTGGCAGAAGAAAAAAATTAGAAATAGGCATCAACAATACACACAAGCAAAGGCTCAATATGTTGCTTTAAAAATAAGAAAACACTGTCATTTCATAAAGTTACCAGAAATCAATTTATTGTTAAATCATAATTTTTTGTTGTTACCATGTTTGATTATTATTTTTCTATCTGATAGTGCTGGACCTCAAAAGTGTGCCAGCTGTATCCAGGAAGGAATATATGAAGAAGGAATTTCTATTTTGGAAACAAGCTCGGTAAGGAAAAATCCATTGAAAGAAACCTAACAGATCAGTGGTGTCAGTAATACCAGTTACAGTTTTTGCTTCAAACACGAGCTCTGAGAACTTCTTATTCCTAGGAACCCTTTTCTTCAGCAGTGAGAAGGGTGATTACTGTGTTGGACTCCTCGGTGCTGAAATCCAGGTCACGCTTGTGTAGTGGTGCCCTACTTAAAGCTGTCACAGCCATTTGGTTGCTGTTAACACACCTCTGGGGGTTGATGGGGCAACTGGCCTGGGAGGAGTTTTCAGGAAGAATTCAAAGTCCTGATGAAACCTGCAACCCCTCAGTAATATTTGTGGCTTGCTTGTTTTGTCCATTTCAGGCTTTCCCAGACAACGCTGCGCGGAGGGAAGTGGAGAGTCTGCCTGCTGTCTGCATCAACAGCGGCTGCAACTGGAAGGGAACCATCAAAGAGTACGAGGTACAGGCCAAAGCAAGGCTTGGCACATCTGCATCCTTCTTCCCTCTGTGTTTGGGGAAGGCTCAGCGTGTTGTCTGTGCTCACTGACAGTGGGGGAAAGTTGTCAAATCCCTGGACTTTACTGTCAGCTGGAGAAGTTTCCCAAGTGAGGGCTTGTGTGCCCTGCTGAGGGCACAGGCAGGACTGAATCAGTTCAGATTTGCTTGTGAGCACGTTCCTTCCATGATGGGAGCACCTGCTCTCTTTGCAGCTCTTCTCTGCTGTACAAGACTGTCAAGAAATTACTGTGCCATGAAATGGTTGTGAATTTCTCTGCATTATGTGAACCTAAAACTCTTCAGACTCCATCAGCTCACAGAAAGTGACCTGATTCCGTTTCAGCTGTCTCCAGAGCTACCAGGGCAGTGGGACTGGATAGTGGGTACTGTCTGGTCACCCATCACCCCAAGCTGTTCTGGGACACAAGGCTGCTGGACAGGATGGTTTTTTCACCTCATTTCTCCTCGAGGAGCCCACTAGCTTTTTAATCTTAACTTTTTAGTTGTGGCTGGGGGTGCTTGGTCTGTAGCATGTGACTGTGAAGCTTTTGGCTTCTGAAAGACAATTTTGTCATCCCTCTTGTAATGGCAGAACCACCACATGGGAGGTCTGAGATAAGAGGAATACATTTTATTTCCCTCTAACACTCACTCCAGACTAAGATCTGTGAGCCTGGTGGTTCGCAGAGCTTTGGCAGTGACTGAGATGTGTTTCAGGAGCAGGTTTAACCTTGGTCTGTCCAGGCTGACATTGGGATTCTCTTGATGATGCCATTGCAAAGTGGAAGGAAGAAGCAACAGCTGTGCATCAGGCCTGAGTGTTCTGCCTAGACTGTGCCTCTGGCTGTTAGCAGAGAGATGCTTCTGCTTCATTGTGCTGCTGTCTGAGCCTTCTGCTATGTGCTCAAAGTTCAGTCCAAGAGATGAGGATGTTGGTGCTAAATGGTTCTGCAGCTGTGAACCCCCATTTGTACATCTGTGAGAGGCTTGTGGTGTGGGTGTGGGACTGAAGAAGTGTCAGGTGAAAAGCTTAACACTGCCACAACACAGAGTTTGGGGATTGCATGTCAAGGAACAGGGTACCCTAGTACTGAGGTTTCAGGTTCAGGCTGTGCTGGTGGTGTCTGCAGATTGTTTGCTCCATCCTTTAATTTCTATTGGTGCCCAGAAGTCCAATGTCTTCTGCAATGATTATAGTGAGCTCATCTTCATTAGATTAAACCAAATTATCTGTCAGCATCTTCCAGTGCTGATTGTGCTGTGGCTGACAAGCCGTGCTGAACTTTTTCTTCTGGTTTTAAAAAAAGTCTTAACGTGTTCTTGCAGAGCTCAGCAAAAATCTTCCACTGCCAATGGTTCTTTCTATGTATTGTGACAAATGGTAGAGTGTTTGAGTCTGGCTAGAGCTCCCACTGGGAGTTGAGAAGGGCAGCGAGCTGTCCTGGGATCAGGGCTGCAGGAGCATCTGATGCCCCAGAACCTTGCACACAGCTGGTGAAGAGCTCCTATATGGATGAGGCTGTGCCTTGTTTTCACTCTCCGCTGTACTTCCCAACCAGCATTTGCTGGGACAAAGGATGATTGATAGAGGTGTGGCCCTTAAGTGCATGGGCTGTGAGTCTGTTGTATCTGTGACATCTTCCCTGCCAGGGGTTTTTATGAGTCTTGGGGTGTCCTGTGTGGTACAGGGGGTGTGGGGGTTTGAAGCAGTGCTGGCTGTTTCCTCTCAGGGGCTGAGTCAACTCTCCTGCCTGCTGTGGTGGCATTCAGCCTAAGGAAGGAGGTTATTTTGTGCCCTCTCAGGAAAAGCTGGCTCTTTCCTATGAACTGGTGGGAGGAGTCAAGGTCTGGCTTGTGTTATCTCCTCCCATATACCTGCCAAAGAGCTGTGGCATTTAATCAGGACTGGCTGTCCCCACGCTGCCAGAGCCACGTGTGTCGCTGAAGAGGGCTGGGAAAGGAGGCGTTGGATGGCTGTGTTAGCCCAGAGCCTCATGGTACCTTGGGCTAAGGTTAAACCCAGCCTTCAGGGCCACAGCGCAGAGCTGCCTGGTGCAGAAGAGCTGCATCCGTAGCTGCACTGTGGGTAACGTCCTGCAGCAGTTCAGAACTCCCACTCTGGAAAGTACCTCAGAGCTATTTCTGACAGGACATGGAAAGTCCCTCAGAGTGAATTCACTGTTTGCTAATTTTAAAATCGTGTGTTGTGTTGAGAGAGGTTGCTCTCCCCTTGCAAATGAAGAGATAGTGTCACTTCTGGTTTGTTAATCTTATCAAGCTACGCACAGGGGGAAAATGTCCTGCAGCTGGAAAGCTTAAGCCTCAGGAAAAGGAGTAAAATAGATTTCAGTTTTGCTTTCTGTTCAGGTGAACTAAAGTTTGCCTCTCAAAGGGAAACACAAAACTGAATGAGTGCAGTCTGCTTGAACATGACTTGCACTCTGCTTCAAGCTGTGTGGACCATATGAAATATTTAAGTTTGGATTTATGGCTGCATTTTTTAGAGTCTGTAAATATTTTGTGGCATTTGGATAAAGTAGTTTGTGGAGGGGCTGAAGGATTTTTCCTTTTATTAGTGATCTTGTTTCCTGATGAGTCTGTTTGCATGTACATTTCGAAAATCAGGCTGTGGGCATGAGCCTTTAGATTTCAGAGCAAAGTCTGAGAAGGGCTGCAGAAACTAAACCAAGCCCATTAAAGCAAAAGGAAAAACCTCAAAAACGGTCCCAGTGATATCCAGGAGAGGGAGTTTGTGGTTCCTCAGTCCTGGTGTGTTTTTCCTCCCACCTTACAGTACCTCTAGCTGCCCACATCCCTCTCCTGTTTATCAACATGTTGTCAGTTTTCATACACCTTTTATTTATGCTTTTCCTACCAGTTCCCTTCCTGTGTTCTCCCCCCAGGACTGGGGTGGGAGGAGGGGGCTGAGGAGGGGTACACACGGGGTCAGCTTTGGCATTCCCCTTGGTTCCCCCAGACAGGGGGGGGCCTCTTCAGCTGGAATCAGAATTAACTGAGACATAAAGACATAAAATTGTCCAATTTTAGGAAGGAGAACTAAGTTTTAAGCTTAAACATGACATCAATGTTTAAACTAAGTTTTGTGGGGCTCAGATCAGCTCAGTTCCTGAGGCTGAGCAACAGTTAGGTGTGGGAACAAGCTGGCTTAATCCATGCTGGAGGTAATGTGCTTTCCTCGAGTTTGTTGTTGTCACTTTGGTTTTAGAGAGTTCTTTGTAAGTGAAACCTGGAAAGCTGCAGAAAGCGCAAAACTCCGAACCCGAGTGATTTTGCTCAAAAGCCTGTGGTGTCAGAAAGGCTGTCTGCAGCCCCTTCTGGGCTGTTTGGCTTCCTGGCACCAGAAGAACAGGATAAGCAGGCATTCCTTCCTGCCCACTGTTCATACTCAGGAGATGCTGTAGAGCCCCTATCGCACCTTATCTAGGGAGAACTCCCTGTTCAAAAGTGCTGCTGGGGGCCCTGATCCAGGGGTGTGCACCATGTCATGCCCCTCCTTCCCAGCTGCAACCTGGGAGTGCCCCAACAGGTTTTGGCGGTGATTTTCAGCTGAGGCTGAAACTTCACCTTCAGGATTTTGCACATTGCTTAGAGAAGAGCTGTTGGTCTTTGAAGTTCGTTCACCTGTCTCCTGCTCCACAAAGTTGTTCCTCTGAGTGTTGTATCATTGTTGTCTGTGTGGGGTACAACGCTTGAGGTGCTGTGGCAGGAACATTTGGTGCTGCTGTAGCAGGGTGACTAGCTTTCTCTTTAAAACCCAGTACAGCATTTATGAGCTTCTTCTGAAGGTTTTGGCTCCGAATTCTGGGTTGGTGGTGAAGTACAGTTTGCAGCCAGCTCCAGCCTGACCAGCAGAACCAGACTATTTTCTGGTGAGAGAATCCCTGACTTTCACATGGACCTGACCAAAAGGACCTTCTGCTTTTGGAAAAGGGATCAGACACACCTGTACTTTCCAGAGCCAGAGCTGAGATGCACAAACACATCCCAGCCACAGTAGCTGGTGTAACTGGCTGCCCAGACACGAGGCGATTTCCCGTCCAAACCTGTGGTGGGAGGTAAAGCCATGGGGAGTGCCAGAGAGCATGCGTGGGAGTGGATTGGAAAGCCCCGGCTGCAGCGGGTCTGCTCTTCATTTCTGAAACCAGCTCAACCTTCTTGTGGTGGCCCAAAAATTAATAGTTGTGACATCTTCTCCTTGGGGAATGAAAAGCTGTAAGTCACAAGGTCTGAAGTGGAGGTGAGTGCTTAAGTGTGGTTCATATGGTTCTACACTGTGAGGAAACCCCTCACTGTGAATGCAGCTGGAGGAATTGTGAAGGGATTTGGAAAAAGCATCCTGGAGCGTACCACCACTTCCTGCTTGTTCATAACTGAAAGCAACCAGGAGTGGCAGAACCTGTTTTAAAAAATGGCAGAAACCCTGCTGCTGCTTCAAATGAATTTTGTACTTTCCTCTGCCCTAAGAAATCACTCTTGCCTTCACACTTGTCTTCAATACCTGAAACACTGCCTTGGTGTCCCTCTGCCAGCAATCCCCAAATCAAACCTCTGTCTGATCAGCCCCAACAGCTGATTGAAGCTAGGGACTTATAATATGAGGGGAGCTGGACTGGACAAAATGTAGATCAAGCCAATATGGTTAAAGCTACGTTCTCTGTTTATTGTTTAAAAGATGGCAGTTTATATACACTTCAGGATAGTTTACAAGTTGTGAACATGCTATCATTGGTCAGTAAGCGTTGTTTACCTTTGCCTTAAGGTGGTCAGGCTTTTCACACTGCAGCTAATTCACACTCAGAAAGCTTATTACTTGGTGGTTACCTTAACATAATTTCTAACTGCGCCACCAGCTAGTTTCTTACTACGCAAAAGGCTTCCAGGCCCCACCAAGGCCGCTTATCTGAGGCCTAGTAGGAGGGTAGGTCAATCCTTCACTCTAAA